TTCATCTTCTTCTCGCCCCGCAAAAACCTTCCTCCTCCAATCTAGGCCTAACCACTGACCTTCATCACCTACGACTGGCTACACTTCCTCGCACCCCTCATCGCTTCAACTTGCTCGAGTTGCTGCCTCTACTGCGCTACCGCCATCCCGGTCATGCCTTTAGGCCCCGTCCGCCTCCAGGGCCGGCTACCGCACACCCACCCTGCATTGGCACCATCAACCGCCACCTCCCTTCCACCGATTTGGTCCTTAACAAAGCCTTGTCACGTATGCCGGGACCAGCCAGGACCTCCCCGTCTAAGGCCCGGGGCTACGCTACAGCTGGGAGGTATAACCTAGCTATGGGATCATCGCGGTGCATTGACATATTACACTGCTTCCACTACTCTGCTCGTAGGTGAGATCATCATTACACGTTATCTTCATAGTGCTCATTGGTGTGATCGTGTAGTATATTTTGTTGTTGTGCAGCACGTTCCAGCGTACAATAGTGGTTAATGGACTTCGTGTGATAGAGGTCGTGTCCCGGGCAAAAGCTCTGTCTGATGGTGTTGGTGCGAGTGATGCGGCGACGTTCTTGAGCGCCGCTCTCCCTTCTTGGAGGCACCATCGTGGGTTGGCCTCCACCACGGGCTTTGGATGGAAACGCTTGAGCAAGGCCCCTCTTTGTCGATTATTAGGATCGTGGTCCATGGATGGTAGTTTTTCTCTTTGTGGTGACGGTTTTGTGGTCTTGGTGGCGGTGCTCTCAATGGAGGCTAGGTTCAGTGGGATGGCTATGTTCCGAGGCCTTGATGACCCACAAGTATAGGAGATCAATCGTAGTCCTTTCGATAAGTAAGAGTGTTGAATCCAACGAGGAGCAGAAGGAATCAATAAGCGGTTTTTAGCAAGGTATTCTCTGCAAGTGCTGTAAAGTAGTGGTGACGGATAGTTAGATAGCAAGATAATTCGTAACAAGTAACAAAAGTGACAAGGTGCAGCAAAGTGGCCCCATCCTTTGCATTGCAAAGGACAAGCCGGAAGTACTTCTTATAGTGAGCAAAACATTCTCAAAGACACATGGGAATCTCTTCTAGTTAACTTCATCATGATTCGCCGACTCGCGTTTACTACTTTGCTAAGTTTTTATGTGGGTGGACGGGTGCTAAGGTGTTATTCTTACCTGAACAAACAACCTACTTATGATTACTCCCTCTCGCAAGCATTCACAACTACGAAATAAGAATTAAGATAAATCTAACCATAGCATGAAACATATGGATCCAAATCAGCCCTTTACGGAATAGCGCACAAACTAGGGTTTAAGCTTCTGTCACTCTCGCAACCCATCATCTACTTACAAAACCCACAATGGCATACCCTAGGCCCAAACATGGTTATGCGTCATGTAGTCGATGCTCATACGTCACCACTAGAGGAAGAACAACATAACACATCATCAAAACATTAAACGGAAACCAACTTCACATGATTACTTATAGCAAGACTTCTCACATGTCCTCAAGAACAACAAGACTACTCACAAATCATGTTCATGATCAGAGGAGAATAATATATGATTAACAATCTGAACATATGATCTTTCACCAAATAAACCAACTAGCATCAACTAAAAGATGTAATCAACACAGTAGCAACCCATAGGTACTAATATAAGGTTTGGAACAAAGATTGAATACAAGAGATGAACGAGGGTCTCGAGATGAGATGGTGCTAGTGAAGATGTTGACAGAGATGAGCCCTCCCATGATGAGAGAAACACTGGGGATGAAGATGGCTTCGATTTTCCTCTCTCGGAGGGAAGTATCCCTGCAGAATCGCTCCGTCAGAGAGCAAAAGTGCTCCCGCCCAAATTTTGCCTCGAGACGGCGACCCTTCATCCCAAAAGTCTTCTTCTTTTTTTTCTAGGGCAAATGGCTTCATATAGCAAAAGATGGGCCTTGGAGGCCTGATGTGGACCCCACAAGCTCACTTGGCGTGCCCAGGGCCCCCTCTAGTAGATTTTTCTTCCAGTTAAATCTCCGTAAGTTTTCAGGCCATTTGGAGCAGCGTAGAATAGCTATCTCTATTGTAGCTCCTTTTAGGTACAGATTTCCAACTGCCGAAAATGTCCCTCTTCTGATGTAACTTGCACTTTAAGAGAGAAAATGCATTAGAATTGCATCTAAAAGTGAAATATAACTTTCAAACAATAAAAATAACAGTAGGAAAATATGATGCGAAATGGACGTACCAGGCCTCCCATTGTGTCATGGCGTTAATTTCCATCCATGCTCTAGTGAAAGCATCCCATCGTCGGACGATGTGAAATCCTTCGAGCTGGGGTGAAGGAGCAGGGGGGTCACTTCGTGTTGGGGAACGTAGTAATTTCGAAAATTTTCCTACGCACACGCAAGATCATGGTGATGCATAGCAACGAGGGGGAGAGTCTGATCTACGTACCCTTGTAGATCGCAACGGAAGCGTTGACACAACGTAGAGGAAGTAGTCGTACGTCTTCTTCCCGATCCGACCGATCCAAGCACCGTTACTCCGGCACCTCCGAGTTCTTAGCACACGTTCAGCTCGATGACGATCCTCGGGCTCCGATCCAGCAAAGCGTCGAGGAAGAGTTCCGTCAGCACGACGGCGTGGTGACGATCTTCATGTTCTACCGACGCAGGGCTTCGCCTAAGCTCTACAACGATATGACCGAGGTGGAATTTGGTGGCAGGGGGCACCGCACACGGCTAAGGAACGATCAACAATGATCAACTTGTGTGTCTTTGGGGTGCCCCCTGCCCCCGTATATAAAGGAGCAGGGGGAGGGGTTCGGCCGGCCAAGGAGAGGGCGCGGGAGGAGTCCTACTCCTACCGGGAGTAGGACTCCCCCCCTCAATCCTATTCCAACTAGGACTCCCAAGGGGAAAAGGAGAGAGAGGGGGGCCGGCCCCTTCTCCTAGTCCTAATAGGACTTGGGGAAGGGGGGGCGCGCGGCCAGCTATGGGCTGCCCCTTTTCTCTTTTCCACTAAGGCCCAATAGGCCCATTTGCCTCCCGGGGGGTTCCGGTAACCCTCCCGGTATTCCGGTAAAATCCCGATTTCTTCTGGAACACTTCCGATGTCCAAACATAGGCTTCCAATATATCAATCTTTATGTCTCGACCATTTCGAGACTCCTCGTCATGTCCGTGATCACATCCGGGACTCCGAACTACCTTCGGTACATCAAAATGCATAAACTCATAATAACTGTCATCGTAACGTTAAGCGTGCGGACCCTACGGTTCGAGAACAATGTAGACATGACCGAGACACGTCTCCGGTCAATAACCAATAGCGGGACCTGGATGCCCATATTGGCTCCTACATATTCTACGAAGATCTTTATCGGTCAGACCGCATAACAACATACGTTGTTCCCTTTGTCATCGGTATGTTACTTGCCCGAGATTCGATCGTCGGTATCCAATACCTAGTTCAATCTCGTTACTGGCAAGTCTCTTTACTCGTTCCGTAATACATCATCTCATAACTAACATCTTAGTTATAATGCTTGCAAGGCTTATGTGATGTGTATTACCGAGAGGGCCCAGAGATACCTCTCCGACAATCAGAGTGACAAAACCCTAATCTCGAAATACGCCAACCCAACATCTGCCATTGGAGACACCTGTAGTACTCCTTTATAATCACCCAGTTACGTTGTGACGTTTGGTAGTACCCAAAGTGTTCCTCCGGTAAACGGGAGTTGCATAATCTCATAGTTATAGGAACATGTATATGTCATGAAGAAAGCAATAGCAACATACTAAACGATCGGGTGCTAAGCTAATGGAATGGGTCATGTCAATCAGATCATTCAACTAATGATGTGACCTCGTTAATCAAATAACAACTCTTTGTTCATGGTTAGGAAACATAACCATCTTTGATTAACGAGCTAGTCAAGTAGAGGCATACTAGTGACACTCTG